AAGGATAAGAGCAGAGGAGAGAGAGTTAGCTTTAACAGTGCGGAGAGCCTCCGTGACACAGAGAAGAGCAGTCTCAGTTGAATGACCAGTCTTGAAACCTGACTGGTTTGGATCAAGAAGGTCATTCTGAGAGAGATAGCAGGAGAGTTGGCTAGAGACGGCACGCTCAAGAGTTTTGTAGAGAAAAGAAAGAAGGGATACTGGTCTGTAGTTGTTGACATCGGAGGGATCGAGTGTAGGTTTTTTGAGGAGGGGTGCAACTCTCGCTCTCTTGAAGACGGAAGGGACATGGCCAGCGGTCAAGGATGAGTTGATGAGCGAGGTGAGGTAAGGGAGAAGGTCTCCGGAAATGGTCTGGAGAAGAGAGGAGGGGATAGGGTCAAGCGGGCAGGTTGTTGGGCGGCCGGCCGTCACAAGTCGCAAGATTTCATCTGGAGAGAGAGGGGAGAAAGAAGTCAAAGCATAGGGTAGGGCAGTGTGAGCAGGACCAGCCGTGTCATTTGACATAATAAATGAGGATCGGATGTCGTCAACCTTCTTTTCAAAATGGTTGACGAAGTCATCCACAGAGATGGGGGAGGCGGAGGAGGATTCAGCAGGGAGGAGAAGGTGGCAAAGAGCTTCCTAGGGTTAGAGGCAGAGGCTTGAAATGGAGTGGTAGAAAGTGGCTTTAGCAGCGGAAACAGAGGAAGAGAATGTAGAGAGGAGGGAGTGAAAAGATGACAGGTCCGCAGGGAGTCTAGTTTTCCTCCATTTCTGCTCGGCTGCCCGGAGCCCTCTTCTGTGAAATCGCAGTGAGTCGTCAAGCCATGGAGCAGGAGGGGAGGACTGAGCCGGCCAGGAGGATAGGGGACATAGAGAGTCAAAAGATGCAGAAAGGGAGGAGAGGAGGGTTGAGGAGGCACAATCAGGAGATTGGAGGGAGAAGGATTTAGCAGAGGGAAGAGATGATAGGATGGAAGAGGAGAGAGTAGCGGGAGAGAGAGCAAAGGTTGCGACGGCACAATACAATCTGAGAAGGGGCAGAGTGAGTAGTGTTGGAGGAGAGCGAGAGAGAAAAGGATACAAAGTAGTGGTCGGAGACTTGGAGGGGAGTTGCCGTGAGATTAATAGAAGAACAGCATCTAGTAAAGATGAGGTCAAGCGTATTGCCTGCCTTGTGAGTAGGGGGGGACGGTGAGAGGGTGCGGTCAAAAGAGGAAAGGAGTGGAAAGAAGGAGGCAGAGAGAAATGAGTCAAAGGCAGACGTAGGGAGGTTAAAGTCACCCAGAACTGTGAGGGGTGAGCCATCCTCAGGAAAGAAACTTATCAAGGCGTCAAGCTCATTGATGAACTCTCCAAGGGAACCTGGAGGGCGATAAATGACAAGGATGTTAAGCTTGAATGGGCTAGTGACTGTGACAACATAGAATTCAAATGAGGAGATAGAAAGATGGGTCAGGGGAAAAAGAGAGAATGTCCACTTGGGAGAGATGAGAATTCCTGTGCCACCGCCGCGCTGACCAGATGCTCTCGGGGTATGCGAGAACACATGGTCAGACGAGGAAAGAGCAGTAGGAGTAGCAGTGTTTTCTGTGGTAATCCATGTTTCCGTCAGCGCCAAGAAGTCGAGGGACTGGAGGGTAGCATAGGCTGAGATGAACTCTGCCTTGTTGGCCGCAGAACGGCCAACAAGGCAGAGTGGGTCGTGCGTGCAGGGACCACCAGATTAGAGTGGCAGCAGCCACGCGGTGTGAAGCGTTTGTATGGCCTGTGCAGAGGAGAGAACAGGGATAGACAGACACATAGTTGACAGGCTATAGAAAAAGGCTGCAATAATGCACAGGAGATCGGAATGAAATGAACTAAACATCTGGGAAAGCGAGAGAGCGGGGCCTCCCTCACTTATGTTTCACTGAAACACTCAAATATAACTCTCCCAACTTCCACTTTAGAAATTATTATTGTTGTAAACTACAGCGGTTCAATGTTTTCTAGGAATAGACTCTAACTTAGTTTATTCAGCTAGCTAACTTGGTACAGTATTCTTCTGTGAAAACCGTCCAGGGCACCGAATACTATGACGCCATAGCCAACTAGCATGCCAGCCTCCAATAACACGGTTTAGCACCAATACTCGGTTACAACAAACCACCAGTGTGTTAACACGCCAAACAGATCATTTGTGTCCGTGTCTAACATTGTGTAAAGTTTTGGGTTCGTTTTGACAGTTTGAGTGAGTACATTTATCACATGCTTCGTAACGTAGCTAGCTATAAACAAAACTTAGCTACTTATCAACAACACGCCAGTTTTAGGTTTGACGGTTGATAGCCCAAGTAGAAGCTAGTCGGATGTAATCCATATCCTATCCATCTGCCCAAGATTGTTGAACAAATTGATGGAAGCCCATTTGCACTCCTATTTGCCGAAGAAAATGTGCGAGCGTTACATCTATATACAGACATCAAATGTCCACATGGCAGCTGGGGGGCGGACCACAACGTGTTATCTCTGGGCAATTGGGCATCATTGGCAAAAGTGGGCATGTAAGTAATCCATACCCAACCCTCCAGTAAATTTTGACAAACTCACTTACAAAACTCTGTTTTGGACGAGCCTGACTTTATGACCATAATTATCCTATTTACACTTGGTAGTCAATTTTGACACTACAATTAATGTTTCTGACTAATATCTATGCGACATAGGCTGTTTAAAACCAGAGAAGTTGGTTCTAAGGGGCAATTGACCTTTAAAGTTGTATTGGTGTTGGTAGCTTTTATGGTTTTGCCGCTACAGGTGGCAGCAGGCACACTTTCATTACACAGTTTAGTTTATTGAGTAATTGACAATCTTAGAGTTTAGATGATTATTCAGAGTACATCTAGTTGATTTTGATGCACACATTCAGTAACAAACAAAAACAGGATTTACAAACAATTAATCACATTTCAAATATTTCTGTCAAAGCAAAATGGCCTACTGACAAATCGTAATGTCTGGTGTGGTGATCCTCAGGTAATCATGAGGATATCATACTGTCCAATAGGCATACAGTTCAATCATCTCCTCCCCTTCATCCTGGGTGAACAGGTATGTGGCAAAGTCGATCAAAAACGCCTTAATCTTATGCACGTTTGACACCCACCACGTTTTGTAGATAACCTCCCCAAGCAGCACGTGGGTCTTCCTGCGCCATTTCTTTAAGACTTCCTCCATTGGGCGATTCTATGAATCACGTCACCCTAAATCCTGTCAAGATTTCAAGATTTCAACATTCACAAAACTAAAGAATAACGAGAAAGGGAGAGAAATGCAGATTGTCTGGTGATTAGTTTTACAGCACCAATACTGCTAGTGTCCTTTCTGAAGATTTGTATTTTGTTCGGGGGAGTGCTTGTGAGAGAGAGAGAGAGAGAGAGAGAATGAACATGGAAAACTGGCTTTTGTCAATCAGGTTAGTCTCCTCTTTCACAGACAGCATGATTGATAGGAGCAAATTGCACAAGCCCTTGCATCAGTCACCTCCCCCATGTCCAGTCCATTTCTAACAGTTCCATGCAGGATCTGAGCCATCTCTTTACATGAGTCCACCACTTCACTCTCTGTATCAGTGGGGTCAGGTGCTAACCACCTTTGGGCTCAGGATTGATTGGTTTCTGAGGTGTGTTTTGCCAAGTGGTGGGTTGCCCACGTTTGGCATGCTCCTCAGTCACAGATGTGTTTATACTTTGTAATAAAGATTATGTAGAAGTACATAATAAACAAGGACAGTGCATGCTTTCAGTATCTCTACTTTTAGGAAACATTTGGAGGTAAAATCAGAATCTCAAAAAATCCCATACTCTGATAGCCATATAAAACAATGCTGATGAAGCAGATTGTCAAGCAATTTAGCTAGTGTGTAATTAGTAGGATATTATTTTTTATGAACTTTTAATGCAAATACAATATCCCTAGACTCTCTTTCCTACCCCTACCCCCATGTGTATCAGTTATACAGAAGTACCTTGTGAGGGTCAAGTTGATGACAAAGCAGAACTGACAAAGGCTTGCATGGCTTGCATAAAGGTTTTCCAGGGTTGTATAAATCAGACAGCCATAATATACTGCATGTAATTAATTCACTCTGGAATTAAATTGGGCTCACTCAGATGCCCGGAGCCTTTTCCAACACACTGTCAGTGTTATGAAAATTATGGCACAACCAAGATCAGTAGAAAATACTAGAGATCTGTCTTCTCAAACAAAGCATTTTTACCTGCAAACAGCATTCTTCTTTAGAATAATCGTTGGAGCTTGGTTTACAGAAAATTTCCTTTGTGGATCTTGATGAACAATAGCTTGACTGTAAAACGGAAATAGGCATATTGAGTGATCTTCATGGGATTTCACAGTAGTATTGAACCAACTCTTGTAAATCGTTATTTTTGTCACAATATACATACCACTAGCTTGGCAATAAAGCTGAAAGAGGATTATCATTTTCATAGACAATTTCATAAAAACAATAATGGTCCAAATATCATACCTCAGATTGATAAAGAATACCACAGAAGGCATACATGTTTGTTGTATGATTCAAATTTAGAAGCAAGCCATTTGTATGAAGGAGTCCAAGGGTGTGTTAGTGTGCTACAGGGCAGTTTGACAAGGATCTCGTTATAAAGCAAATTGTTCAATATGAATTGCAGCTGGCGTCAGTGAGTGAAATAACAGATATGGGCTGGGCTAATTCTTATTTAAAGTCTTCCTGTTTCCTGGATTGTCTTTCCCAGGAGGGGCCTATTTCAAATGTAAATTGATTTAGTTTCCATAATTCAGTGAAGTGCTCTTTTTTTGCGTTCATTCCACTAATTGGGGGCCATTACAAAATAGACTGCAGTCCACATGCTGTTTCCTTCATCCTAGATGTCTCACACACGTTGCATAACACAAGTCTTATCATTATTGCACTACGGCTACTTCTTTGACACAACTATTCTGCAGGAAAAGCATAGAAACAGGGCAGGTCCTGGCTATGGGTGGACTGGAGTTTTCTCAGACAGGGGTGGCGGGCTGGGCTGGTTGGGGCAGGGGCTGGTCTCCGTTTGTTTGCACAGCATGCAGCGGCGGGCAATTTGGACTAGCGTGGCGCGGAACCGCTGTATCCGGAAGGCATAGACCAGTGGGTTGACGGCAGAGTTGACATGGGACATAAAGATGCCCACGTACATGGCGCTCTTGGGCATCCCACACTCCGGGCAGAAGAAGAGGATGCAGTTCATGACATGCAGGGGCAGCCAGCACAGAGCGAATAAGAAGACGACTAGCGCCAGGGACTTGGCTAGCTTTAGCTCCTTGTGCAAGTACTTGCTGGTGTCGCAGGTGGCCTCGGCACGCATGTTGAGCTGCTTCCGGATCACCCTGAAGATCTCAGCATACAGCGCAATCATGATGGTCAGAGGAACCACCACCCAGCCGAAGAAGTTGAAGTAGACCATGTAGTCCATGCGCATGACCGTGGTAAACTTGCAAACTATTATGTCATCGCTGGTGGTGCTGAGGTTACCTTGAGTGTGCTCGTTGTGCCAGCCCAACATTGGCACCAGCCCGGTCAGGGCAGAGAGGAGCCAGCACAGGAACACTGCCACCCATGCCCTGTTCTGGGTCACGATGATGCTGTACCTGAAGAGGACCAGAGGAACGATCAAAGTCGGTTTGAAAAACTATACAGTCAAACATACAACATACAAAACAGTTGGAGGTAAAGTTTAGCTTAGATATATCTAGAAACCCTTTTCATAAGCCACCTGTGTGAAATGCTTGATAGATACATTAGGCATGCATTTTTACAGTACATGTTGTTATAAGTAGCAAAGTATGAGCTGTTATGAATAACAATGATGCACAATCTCGGTTTAAAGCATTATGAATTAAATTAATTCATGGACTGTCAAACTGTTGTCCCTATTTACTTATTGCCTTTGTGCTGTTGTCTGTGCCCAATAATGTTTGTACCATGATTTGTGCTGCTACCATGTTGTGCTGCTGCCATGTTGTGTTGCTACCATGTTGTTGTCATGTGTTGCTGCCATGCTATGTTGTTGTCATAGGTCTCTCTTTATGTAGTGTTGTAGAGTCTCTCTTGTCGTGATGTGTGTTTGGTCCTATATTTTTATTTTTAATCCCAGCCCCCGCCCCCGCAGGAGGCCTTTTGCCTTTTGGTAGGCCGTCATTGTAAATAAGAATTTGTTCTTAACTGACTTGCCTAGTTAAATAAAGGTTAAATAAAATAGAAATAAATAGAAAGTGCCACTTAAGATAACAGGGTGTCAAACTTATTCTGTGACAGAAGCACAATGCATTCATATATGCATTGAAGGTGATTCAAAAAGTGCCACCAAATTTCCTCAGGACAAAGATATGGATTTTTATTTGGCACGTATTGATTTTAGAATGCAAAATACTGAGAGCTAAGCAAATGCAAGCGTCTACATTCCTTTCCCGATTTTTTATGTGAGAAAATAAAAGGTGGCACTATGAAACCAATACAATTTAAACAAAATGTATGATCATTTTATATCACACAGCAAAATGAAAGAACCGTTCCCTTTAATAGTAAGTTCCCACTGGGCACAGACGTCAAATCAACGTCTATTCCACATTGGTTCAACGTAATTTAATTGAAATGACATGGAAACAACGTTGATTCAACTAGTGTGTACCCAGTGGGTTGGTCCCCTGTCCACATAACACTAAAAATAAATAAGACTCACCAAAAACTCTGCCAAAAATGCCTAACGAAACAGCCTTAAAAATCACTCCTTGGGACGGACAGGAACATTTTAATATACTTAAAAGCTTTCAATGTCTGGCCCATTGATTTCTATTCAACTAAGCGGTGATATATGGCTTTCCAGCAGTCTGAGAGAAATTCTCCTCAGATACACTACATGACCAAAAGTATGTGGATACCTGCTTGTCGAACATCTCATTCCAAAATCATGGGCATTAATATGGAGTTGGTCCCACTTTGCTGCTATAACAGCCTCCACTCTTCTGGGAAGGCTTTCCAATAGATGTTGGAACATTGCTGCAGGGACTTGCTTCCACTCAGCCACAAGATAATTAGTGAGGTCGGGCACTGATGTTGGGTGATTAGGCCTGGCTCGCAGTCAGCGTTCCAATTCATCCCAAAGGTGTTCGATGGGGTTGAGGTCAGGGCTCTGTGCAGGCCAGTCAAGTTCTTCCACACCGATCTCGTTAAAACATTTCTGTATGGACCTCGCTTTGTGCACGGGGACATTGTCATGCTGAAACAGGAAAGGGCCTTCCCCAAACTGTTGCCACAAAGTTGGAAGCACAGAATCGTCTAGAATGTCATTGTATGCTGTAGCGTTAAAATTTCCCTTCACTGGAACTAAGGGCCTAGCCCGAACCATGAAACACAGCCCCAGAACATTATTACTCCTCCACCAAACTTTACAGTTGGCACTATGCATTGGGGTAGATAGCGTTCTGCTGGCATCCGCCAAACTCAGATTCATCCGTCGGACTGCCAGAGGGTGAAATGTGATTCATCACTCCAGAGAACGCGTTTCCACTGCTCCAGAGTCCAATGGCGGCAAGCTTTACACCACTCCAGCCGACGCTTGGCATTGCGCATGGTGAGCTTAGGCTTGTCTGCGGCTGCTTGGCCATGGAAATCAATTTCATGAAGCTCCTAATGAACAGTTCTGCTGACGTTGCTTCCAGAGGCAGTTTGGAAGTCAGTAGTGAGTGTTGCAACGAGGACAGACGGTTTTTATGCGCTATGTGCTTCAGCACTCGGTCGTCCCATTCTGTGAGCTTGTGTGGCCTACCACTTCATGGCTGAGTTGCTCTTAGACGTTTCCACTTCACAATAACAGCACTTACAGTTGACCGGGACAGCTCTAGCAGAGCCGAAATTTGACGAACTGACTTGTTGAAAAGGTGGCTTCCTATGACGGTGACACGTTGACAGGCACTGAGCTCTTCAGTAAGGCCATTCTACTGTCCAATGTTTGTCTATGGAGATTGCATGGCTGTGTGCTCGATTTTAAACAAGTCAGCAACGGGTGTGGCTGAAATAGCCGAATCCACTCATTTGAAGCGTGTCCACATACTTTTGTATATATAGTGTACATTGCTACCGCATACTCCCTTGGTATCCCTCACACATCAATATAAACAAGGCTTTAAAAAAAAAAAAGTCCACATATACAATCGTGGTCAAAAGTTTTGAAAATGACACAAATATTGTTCCCCGAGCCACTTAGTTATCACTTTTGCCTTATGGCAAGGTGCTCCATCATGCTGGAAAAGGCATTGTTCGTCACCAAACTGTTCTTGGATGGTTGGGAGAAGTTGCTCTCGAAGGATTTGTTCGTACCATTCTTTATTCATGGCTGTGTTCTTAGGCAAAATTGTGAGTGAGCCACTCCCTTGGCTGAGAAGCAACCCCACACATGAATGGTCTCAGGATGCTTTACTGTTGGCATGACACAGGACTGATGGTAGCGCTCACCTTGTCTTCTCCGGACAAGGTGTTTTCCGAATGCCCCAAACAATCGGAGAGGGGATTCATCAGAGAAAATGACTTTACCCCAGTCCTCAGCAGTCCAATCCCTGTACCTTTTGCAGAATATCAGTCTGTCCCTGATTTTTTCCTGGAGAGAAGTGGCTTCTTTTCTGCCCTTCTTGACACCAGGCCATCCTCCAAAAGTCTTTGCCTCACTGTGTGTGCAGATGCACTCACACCTGCCTGCTGCCATTCATGAGCAAGCTCTGCACTGGTGGTGCCCCGATCCCGCAGCTGAATCAACTTTAGGAGACGGTCCTGGCGCTTGCTGGACTTTCTTGGGCGTCCTGACGCCTTCTTCACAACAATTGAACCTCTCTCCTTGAAGTTCTTGATGATCCGATAAATGGTTGATTTAGGTGCAATCTTACTAGCAGCAATATCCTTGCCTGTGAAGCCCTTTTTGTGCAAAGCAATGATGACGGCACGTGTTTCCTTGAAGGTAACCATGGTTAACAGAGGAAGAACAATGATTTCAAGCACCACCCTCCTTTTAAAGCTTCCAGTCTGTTATTCTAACTCAATCAGCATGACAGAGTGATCTCCAGCCTTGTCCTCGTCAACACTCTCACCTGTGTTAACGAGAGAATCACTGACATGATAGCAGCTGGTTCTTTTGTGGCAGGGCTGAAATGCAGTGGAAATGTTTTGGGGGGGATTAAGTTCATTTTCATGGCAAAGAGGGACTTTGCAATTAATTGCAATTCATCTGATCACTCTTCATGACATTCTGAAGTATATGCAAATTGCCATCATCAAAACTGAGGCAGCAGACTTAGTGAAAATTAGTATTTGTGTCATTCTCAAAACTTTGTGCCTTCAGAAAGTAAATATGTAATTTACATAAGTAATCACACCCCTGAATCAATACATGTTAGAATCACCTTTGGCAGCGATCACATCTGTGAGTCTTTCTGGGTAAGTCTCTAAGAGCTTTGCACACCTGGATTGTACAATATTTGCACATTATTCTTAAAAAAATTATTCAAGCTCTGTCAAGTTGGTTGTTGATCATTGCTAGACAGACATTTTCAAGACTTCCCATAGATTTTCAAGCCAAACTGTAACAAGGCCACTCAGAAACATTACATGTAATCTTGGTAAGCAACTCCAGTGTATATTTGGCCTTGTGTTTTAGGTTATTGTCTTGCTGAAAGGTGAATTTGTCTCTGAGTGTCTGAACCAGGTTTTCTTCTACGATTTTGCCTGTGCTTAGTACCGTTTATTTTTATCCCAAAAAAAACGTCCTAGTCCTTGCTGATGACAAGCATACCCATAACATGATGCAGCCACCACCATGCTTGAAAATATGAAGAGTGGTACTCAGTGATGTGTTGTGTTGGATTTGCCCCAAACATAACGCTTTATGTTCAGGACATAAAGTTCATTTTTTGGCCAATATTTTTACAGTTTTACTTATTGCAAACAGAATGCATGTTTTTTTTATTTATTATTCTGTAAAAGCTTCCTTCATCTGTACGGGCTTCCTTCATTTCACTCTGTCTTTTAGGTTAGTATTGTGGAGTAACTACAATGTTGTTGATCCATCCACAGTTCTCTGTAACTGTTTTAAAGTCACCATTGGCCTCATGGTGAAATCCCTGAGCAACTGAGTTAGGAAGGACGCCTGTATCTTTGTAGTCACTAGGTGTATTGATACACCATCCAAAGTGTAATTAATAACTTCACCATGCTCAAAGGGATATTAAATGTCTGCTTTTTGTATTTTTAACCACATACCAATAGGTGCCCTTCTTTGTGAGGCATTGGAAAACCTCCCTGGTCTTTGTGGTTGAATCTGTGTTTGAAATTCACTGCTCGACTGAGGGACCTTAACAGATAATTGTGTGTGGGATACAGAGATGAGGTAGTCATTCAAAGATCATGTTAAACACTATTATTGCACACACACTCATTATGTGACTTGTTAAGCACATTTTTACTGCTGAACTTATTTAGGCTTGCTATAACAAAGGGGTTGAATACTTATTGACTCAAGACTTTTCAGCTTTTCATTCTTTATTAATTTCGAAAAACATAACTCCACATTATGGGGTATTGTGTGTATGCCAGTGAAACAAAATCTCAATTTAATCCATTTTAAATTCTAAATGTGGAAGTCAAGTGGCGTGAATACTTTCTGAAGGCAATGTGTAATTAGAATTAACAGAAAATGGTCCTCACTTGGAATACAGTAAAATACTTAATTTGTTGCCCTCAAGCAAAATCCATCTCATTATGGACAATCCTCTATTAAAAGTTTTAAACCCCTAATATACTGTAATTTAATTACAGGTGGTGCTGCAGACAAGATGAGTGTATTTAATCTGATGCAGTTACAGTACATTTTTGTGTCATGAATTTGGCAGTTGTTTTTCAGACTGTTTAGTAAATAGCATGCAACTGGTGGCTATACGGTGGACTCACTTGATGGGAATCTTGACCCGGAGGTAGCGGTCGATGGCGATGGCCATTAGAGACAGGATGGAGCCTTGGGTGATGATGAGGAGCAGACAGGAGAGGAAGAGGCAGGTGTAGAACTGAGTCTTCAGCCCCAGACTGATCACTATAGCCAGGGGGATGACCAGGGCTCCCACAGCAATATCGGCCACCGCCAGAGACACGATAAAGCAGAACGTGGTGTCCCTCAGGGCGCGGTTTACACAAACCACCAGCACCACCAGCACGTTGCCCAGCACAGAGGCCAGGGCGATGGCTGTCTCGATGGAGATGTACATCATGTCCACATGCTCCCGTGGCTTGATACCGGGAGAGGAAAACATTTTAAAAGTCTTCAGATCTCTCCTTTGCTTGCCTCAGATTGGAAATGGTTTAAGAGGTTTTTCTTCAATTGGTCCTATGGATTCAACTAATTTCATTGTGTCTTCTTCCATTCTGCGTATTCCCTCTGAGTTGCTGCTGTTGAGAGATGTGTGGGTTGTCGCTGACCTGGCATTGACTGAGTGGGCCCTTCGTCAATGAGGGGATCTGGGGAGATGAATGTCCAGCATCCTCTTTTAGCTCCACACTGACTGGCTGACAGGCTGATCCCCTGCTTCTCTCCTCCTCTCCTCCTTCTCCTCACTTGCTCTCACTCTTGGAGAGAGGCTCTCTCTGAAACAAGGGAGGGGCCTCGTTCTCTTTGCAGCAGTCTGCAGCACCACCTCCTCCCTTCACTCCTCTGGAACAGTAGCGAGCTCCTCACATACCATCAGAAGTGTGTATGTGTGTGTGTTTGTGTGTGTGTTATAGAGGGGAGCTGTGACTGTGGTCTGACAGGTGGGTCTTATAAAATAAGCATTTGTGAGATTGGATGCTTTCGGCAGTGCCACTCAAGCTAACAGGGTATCAAATGAAAGTTGGAGTGCCAAGGTGCCATCTTAAGTTTTTAGTACTCTGTCATCTGAGATGCACTGCAGACAGGACCGTGACACTTACCCAAGAAGATTTGTGAAGAACCAAACTAACATTCTGCCCCCCACGCATTTGTGCTAACCAAGACCGCTGTCATCCTCTCAAATAGCTTTGCATAAATTAATGGACCGTACACTGTGTCCAAATGTTCTGTAAGCGATGTGATGTTTTTACTTCTATGCCTTAAATCCCCCATAGATAAATATTATACCATGCCTTTTTGCCTTAAAGGTGAATTAATAAATAAATGAATCATCTTTCGTGTGACTGGAGTGCTTCCCAGTCTTAAGGCTAACCTACACTGCTGATATTGATTTCTCAATCAGAAAAGCATCAATACATAAGATACATGGGAGGAATTAGAATTAAGTAATGTGCAAGTTATGATTTGTGGTTATTCAGGTGCAATCCATGGTTTAATTTCATACCCCAGCTAATTAACTTGTGAGAATGATAGTAAGTTTCGAATAGTACATTAGTGCTTAACAGTACCCACTCCATTATGTTATTCCATATCAGCAGGCAGATTATTGTGATTGTATCACATTTATGCTCATTAATACATTTCAACACACATTTTCTTCCTTTTTATCATCTGAAAACATCATCATCCTTTTCTGTGATTTTTTTACTTGAACTTCACACAGGCTAACAGCCCACCAGTTGTACATCAATCCTCATTCAGTATCTTCGCTGCATCAACTTAAACAGTCTGGACCAGCTCTTTGCTAGAATAGTCATGGAGCCAGAAAAGGGACACACACAATTAAAACATTCACTTATTGAAACATCATATCATATGCATTGAAATGAATTGGAGTGGCATTGCAGAATTTTGATGACTGCCAGCAAGCCTCGTACGAACCATCCTGATCTCGCGAGCCTGGATGGTTCGTTCGAGGCTAAGCAAGCCTATAGCCGAAAACATTTAATTATCCTAAAACACAGTAAGACAATGTTCATCTCTGAATCAGAAAGTCCTGGCAGTTGGCAGCCACTTCAAAGGATGCAGTAATGAAGCAATCTCTGTGATGGCCCCTCGCAATCCATTAAGGAGAGCAGAAGTTTCAACGTCTGCCTGTAAACACATTCATTTTATACTCCCTTTTTTTGAGGAAACCGATGACTCAGGACTTTTTTTGGGAACATTGCCTCCGACCTCAGACTGTGCTCTGTGCGTTAGCGTGTTGGTGAGCAGACACAACAGTATCTCACTTGTATTGGAGATGGTATCACTTTTCCCATGTGCTGTACGTCATCTGCAGAGAGGGTCCCAGGCAATGTTCCCTGTAATGTTTTGGGGCACTGAGCAAATTTTAGGTCTTGTGAGCGGAAACTTGAACATTGTGAGAATTTTGTGCAACTTCCGGCGCGCGTTTACAGTGAACACTGAGGCTGTACCCTTACAGTTTTACACAGTAGCCAATAGGCTATTGTGGCTATTTGAGCATAATGTAGGCCTACCAACAAAACCAATGGAGCGAATCACATAACATTTTCACATGGAAATAGCTTTTGATTTCTATGATATAGCCTACAGTATATGTGGTGTTCAATGCAGGCCTACATTGCATGAGACTTTTAAAAAAGTTTTTACATTATGAAGGCCTTGATATTTTTATTTTTTACTTGGTCTGTAACACCATGGGCCAAATAGGTGACTGTAAATTGCATTGTATTGTGTTGTATGATGCAAGAAACCACTTTACAAAATGAAATTAATTATTATTACCATACAGATGTCACGTACAGTGGGGGAAAAAAGTATTTAGTCAGCCACCAATTGTGCAAGTTCTCCCACTTAAAAAGATGAGAGAGGCCTGTAATTTTCATCATAGGTACACGTCAACTATGACAGACAAATTGAGGGAAAAAAATCCAGAAAATCACATTGTAGGATTTTTTATGAATTTATTTGCAAATTATGGTGGAAAATAAGTATTTGGTCACCTACAAACAAGCAAGATTTCTGGCTCTCACAGACCTGTAACTTCTTCTTTAAGAGGCTCCTCTGTCCTCAACTCGTTACCTGTATTAATGGCACCTGTTTGAACTTGTTATCAGTATAAAAGACACCTGTCCACAACCTCAAAAAGTCACACTCCAAACTCTACTATGGCCAAGACCAAAGAGCTGTCAAAGGACACCAGAAACAAAATTGTAGACCTGCACCAGGCTGGGAAGACTGAATCTGCAATAGGTAAGCAGCTTGGTTTGAAGAAATCAACTGTGGGAGCAATTATTAGGAAATGGAAGACATACAAGACCACTGATAATCTCCCTCGATCTGGGGCTCCACGCAAGATCTCACCCTGTGGGGTCAAAATGATCACAAGAACAGTGAGCAAAAATCCCAGAACCACACGGGGGGACCTAGTGAGTGACCTGCAGAGAGCTGGGACCAAAGTAACAAAGCCTACCATCAGTAACACACTACGCCGCCAGGGACTCAAATCCTGCAGTGCAAAACGTGTCCCCCTGCTTAAGCCAGTACATGTCCAGGCCCGTCTGAAGTTTGCTAGAGTGCATTTGGATGATCCAGAAGAGGATTGGGAGAATGTCATATGGTCAGATGAAACCAAAATAGAACTTTTTGGTAAAAACTCAACTCGTCGTGTTTGGAGGACAAAGAATGCTGAGTTGCATCCAAAGAACACCATACCTACTGTGAAGCATGGGGGTGGAAAAATCATGCTTTGGGGCTGTTTTTCTGCAAAGGGACCAGGACGACTGATCCGTGTAAAGGAAAGAATGAATGGGGCCATGTATCGTGAGATTTTGAGTGAAAACCTCCTTCCATCAGCAAGGGAATTGAAGATGAAACGTGGCTGGGTCTTTCAGCATGACAATGATCCCAAACACACTGCCCGGGCAATGAAGGAGTGGCTTTGTAAGAAGCATTTCAAGGTCCTGGAGTGGCCTAGCCAGTCTCCAGATCACAACCCCATAGAAAATCTTTGGAGGGAGTTGAAAGTCTGTGTTGCCCAGCGACAGCCCCAAAACATCACTGCTCTAGATGAGATCTGCATGGAGGAATGGGCCAAAATACCAGCAACAGTGTGTGAAAAACTTGTGAAGACTTACAGAAAACGTTTGACCTGTGTCATTGCCAACAAAGGGTATATAACAAAGTATTGAGAAACTTTAGTTATTGATCAAATACTTATTTTCCACCATAATTTGCAAATAAATTCATTAAAAATCCTACAATGTGATTTTCTGGAAAAAAAATTCTCATTTTGTCTGTCATAGTTGATGTGTACCTATGATGAAATTACAGGCCTCTCTCATCTTTTTAAGTGGGAGAACTTGCACAATTGGTGGCTGACTAAATACTTTTTTTCCCCACTGTATACTCAACCTCTGGCCTCTAGGTCACCAGGCTGCTCTTTATTACGCACACCAGTCACCATCGTTACGTGCACCGGCGCCTCATCAGACTCACCTTGACTCCATCACCTTCCTGATTACCTCCCCTATATATGTCACTCCCTTTGGTCCCTTCCCCAGGCGTTATTGATTCTGTTACTCTGTTCCTACGCTACTCTTGTTTTGTTTCATTTACCATTAAATGCACTCCCTGTACTTGCTTCCTGACTCCCAGCGTACATTGTTACAGAATAACACCTCACCAAAGGGAAGCATCAGGGAGTGTTTTTTGTTTTTTTGTTGGTGTAGGTGACGTCGGGTCCGGGTGCCGATACCGGGGATGCCTCAGCTGGCTCGTCAGGCTTCCATGCTTCAGCCAGCTCGTCAGGTTTACAAGACCCGGTTGGCCCGTCAAGCGTCCGTTGCCGTGTCTACTGAGGATGCCTCAGCTAGCTCGTCAGGCTTTCATGCCTCAGCTGGCTCGACAGGTTTACAAGACTTGGTAGGCTCGTCAGGCTCCCATGCCTCAGCTGGCTCGACAGGCTCCCGCGCCTCAGCCGGCTCGACAGGCTCCCGCGCCTCAGCCGGCTCGACAGGTTCCCGCGCCTTAGCAGAGGTGACCGATCCGCTCCTGATCCCCAGGATCGTCCCTTTGGTCAGCGTCCTGCAGCTGGAGCCGCGCGTCAGTGAGGGGGTACTGTCACGTATATGCCCCATCTGGCCTCTAGGTCACCAGGCTGCTCTTTATTACGCACACCTGTCACCATCGTTACGTGCACCGGCGCCTCATCAGACTCACCTGGACTCCATCACCTTCCTGATTACCTCCCCTATATATGTCTCTCCCTTTGGTCCCTTCCCCAGGCGTTATTGATTCTGTTACTCTGTTCCTACGCTACTCTTGTTTTGTTTCATTTACCATTAAATGCACTCCCTGTACTTGCTTCCTGACTCCCAGCGTACATTGTTACAGAATAACACCTCACCAAAGGGAAGCATC